AACTCCTCTCTTTCTCACACTCTCATAAATTCTATCAGTTGTCACAATACATACGGGTAATAATACGCGTACAGCTCTCTCTCCTTCTCTCTCTCTCTCCCTCTCTCTCTCTCTCTCACACACACACACACACACACAATTAATTGCAACTTACAATGCTATAAAAAAAAGAATTTCCTAAATAAAAAAAAGAATTTCTTACAAAAAAAAAAAAACTATAGTGTTTACCTAGAAAAAATATCTATAGCTCTCATTTTTTCTATCTCTCCCTCATATTCCATCATATATGCAGAGAATTTAACTACACAAAAATACAAAATATATCATTCTGTCAAAACTGAATTTTTTAAATTATAAAACCACTTTGAAGTGCTTGTTTAATTTTTTTAAAAAAATAATTAGATGGTTAGTGTTTTAAAAAAATATTGTTTTATACTAGAGAATTTTAAAAATATAATCAATTTTCAAATGTTTTGATTAGATTTATTTTTAAAATGAAAAGTCATAATACAAATTTTACAAATAAAAAATAGCTCTTTACTTGAAACATCAATCTGTATAAAAGTCTATATTACTTTTCAAATGTCTGTTTCTCTTGTAGATTTTTTTTTAATAACATCCATAACACTTACTTTTGTAGAAATATATATTTTCAAAACTAAGACTTTGAGATCGTACTGCAATCAACGATGTGAAAAAAAATTTAGATAAGTTATCTACTGAAAATGAGATATTAGCGAAAAATGAATACATGAGTTCAATTGGTATTTTTTCATCACTAAATGCAAAAACAATATATATATTTTTTATTTTATAGTCACATTTATATTTATTTTATTAAATTTTGAAAGGGTTTCATTCAATACTTTCGCATATGGCCCTAATTTCTATCGAGCCAGCCCTGTTAACGCTTGCGTGTAACTTGTATATGTAGGAAGATGATTTTGCTGCAAATTATTGTCTAGATTTGTGCCTAAACTTCGAATATTTTGTGATTACTTTCAAAAGAGATGAAGCAACTTCAAGCCATGAGGAAGCGGATAGTGTTGGTTCCTCCGCATTGGTCAATTCTACTAGGAAAGTGGATGCTATAGTTATCGATGATTGACTTCCTCCATGACCGCTATGAACATGGTTGTCGCTTACTAATAATATTTGTATGTATTAGTATGTTTATTAAACTAGTAATTGTCATGAACCATTTTAATAATTAGGTCATTAAACTTGTGGTGGTGTAGGAACAAATATATCATGTCAGCATGTAGCTTCAACTTAATTATGAATTATGTTGCCTTCATTTTGTATTTATTATTCAAGACAACAGTTAATAGTGTCAGATGTTTGAGTACGGAATATGAACCATGATTCCTTTATTTTATATATTTTTGTATAAGGCAACGGTTGGTTAATGTTAATGTTTATGTGATTTCGGCGCTTGCATTCATTTGTTATTTAATTTCAGTATAATATTTTGGGTGAATCAAATATATNTGTGCCTAAACTTCGAATATTTTGTGATTACTTTCAAAAGAGATGAAGCAACTTCAAGCCATGAGGAAGCGGATAGTGTTGGTTCCTCCGCATTGGTCAATTCTACTAGGAAAGTGGATGCTATAGTTATCGATGATTGACTTCCTCCATGACCGCTATGAACATGGTTGTCGCTTACTAATAATATTTGTATGTATTAGTATGTTTATTAAACTAGTAATTGTCATGAACCATTTTAATAATTAGGTCATTAAACTTGTGGTGGTGTAGGAACAAATATATCATGTCAGCATGTAGCTTCAACTTAATTATGAATTATGTTGCCTTCATTTTGTATTTATTATTCAAGACAACAGTTAATAGTGTCAGATGTTTGAGTACGGAATATGAACCATGATTCCTTTATTTTATATATTTTTGTATAAGACAACGGTTGGTTAATGTTAATGTTTATGTGATTTCGGCGCTTGCATTCATTTGTTATTTAATTTCAGTATAATATTTTGGCTGAATCAAATATATCTGTGGTTGCCTTTTTAAAATTTGTTTATAGCGGAATGCAAAAAACTTGTTTCTTTTATAATAACCAATTAGTCATAACTTTTCAATTCAATATTAAAGTGGTAATCACGAATTCCTAAACGAAACATAAGATAGTTTTGATTCAAGGATAAGATGGTAAATTAATGTCAAATATTATGAGATTTGATAAAATAAAATANTGGTTTTTCATTTATTGTGTTTTTTATGGATCAATTTCTTTTAGGAGGAACAATACTATACTATTTCTGATATGCTTGACTGTGAACTTTTTGCTTGAGATCCCCTAAAGAAATGCATTGGGAAAGGAGCCATTGATGGTGCAAAGGATTTTTTNAATTTATTCAACATTGTATTTGGCTTATTGGGATTTGATTGAATAGGTTTAGAATTTAAATCTAAACCAGTGCAATCCACAAGAGTTTTTCCAAACACACTCTGTAGGGATAAAATGTGAGGCTCCTAGGAACTTCACCGAAAGTAGAGGAATTGAAGGAGAAAAAAGACAGTTGTGTAACTGCTAATAATGAAGTTGATATACATAATATCCTACATGACACATGGCTTATTTGCANAGATTAAACAGTCATTTTGGTCCCCGAATAAGAGGGGTCCCAGATCTTAGATACAAACTCATATGGAGTTGACTAAGTTTGGCCCAAAAGGTATTTGGTACAAAGTAGGTCCAAGAAAATATAATATTTGGGAGGATCTAAAATAGGAAAAAACTCCTCTCTTTCTCACACTCTCATAAATGCTATCAGCGGGTTATAATACGCGTACAACTCTCTCTCTCTCTCTCTCTCTCTCTCTCTCTGTCTCACACACACACACACACACACACACACACACCTACACACACACAATTAATTGCAACTTACAATGCAATAAAAAAATGTATTTCCTACCCAAAAAAAAAAAACTATAGTGTTTACCTAGAAAAAATATCTATAGCTCTCATTTTTTCTATCTCTCCCTCATATTCCATCATATATGCAGAGATTTTAACTTCAAAAAAATANAAACTATAGTGTTTACCTAGGAAAAATATCTATAGCTCTCATTTTTTCTATCTCTCCCTCATATTCCATCATATATGCAGAGATTTTAACTTCACAAAAATACAAAATATATCATTCTGTCAAAACTAAATTTTTGAAATTATAAAACCACTTTAAGTGCTTGTTTAATTTTTTTTTAAAAAAATCATTAGATGGTTAGTGTTTTAAAAGAATATTGTTTTATACTAGAGAATTTTAAAAATATAATCAATTTTCAAATGTATTGATTAGGTTTATTTTTAAAATGAAAAGTCATAATACAAATTTTACAAATAAAAAATAGCTCTTCAATTGAAACATGAATATATATAAATGTCTAGATTACTTTTCAAATGTCTGTTTCTCTTATAGATTTTTTTTTAATAATATCCACAACAGTTACTTTTGTAGAAATATATATTTTCAAAACTAAGACTTTGAAATTGTACTGCAATCAACTATGTCAAAAAAAATTTAGATAAGTTATCTACTGAAAATGAGTTATTAGTGAAAAATGAATACATGAGTTTAATTGGTATTTTTGCATCACTAAATGCAAAAAAAAAAAAATATTTTAATTCTTTTTATAGTCACTTTTATATTTGTTTTATTAAATTTTGAAAGGGTTCCATTCAAAACTTTCGCATTTGGCCCCAATTTCCGTCAAGCCAGCCCTGTTAACGCTTGCTTGTAACTTGTACATGTAGGAAGATGATTTTGTTGCAAATTATTGTCTAGATCTATGTCTAAACTTCAAATATTTTGTGATTATTTTCGAAAGAGATGAAGCAACTTCAAGCCATGAGGAAGGGGATAGTGTTGGTTCGTCCGCATTGGTCAATTCTACTAGGAAAGTGGATGTTATAGTTATCGATAATTGACTTCGTCCATGACCGTTATGAACATTGTTGTCGCTTACTTTTAATATTTGTATGTATTAGTATGTGTATTAAACTAGTAATTGTTATGAATCATTTTGATAATTAGGTCATTAAGCTTGTGGTGGTGTAGGAACAAATATATCATGTGTCCATGTAGCTTCAACTTAATTTTCAATTATGTTGCCTTCATTTTGTATTTATAATTCAAGCCAATAGTTAATATAGTCATATGTTTGAGTACGAAATATGAACCATGATTCCTTTATTTTATATATTTTTGTATAAGGCAACGATTGGTTAATGTTAATGTTTATGTAATTTCGGCGCTTGCATTCATATGTTATTTAATTTTATTATAATATTTTGGGTGAATCAAATATATTTGTAGTCGCCTTTTTAAAATTTGTTTATAGTGGAACGCAAAAAACTTATTTTTTTTATAATAACCAATTAGTCATAACTTTTCAATTCAATATTAAAGAGGTAATCACGAATTCCCGAGCGAAACATAAGATAGTTTTGATTCAAGTATAAGATGGTAAATTAATGTTAAATATTATGAGATTTGATATAAAAAAAAATTGTTTAACCATGGAGTCTACAATATTATAAATTATTATTCAAATCAAGAATTAGATAAAACCATTTACTTTATCCCGGAGTTTTGCCAAACACCCCCTGTAGGGATAAAATGTGAGGCTCCTAGGAACTTCACCGAAAGCAGAGGAATTGAAGGAGAAGGAAGACAGTTGTGTAACTGCTGACAATAAAGTTGATATACATCATATCCTACCCGATACATGGCTTATTCGCAGCTTGTCACGTAACCCAGTTAACCGATTCCTTCTCTTCTTTTGTCCTCCTCTAGACTCAAACCGCACATTCTCTCTCCTACATCTCTCTATGGAGAGAATTACCGGGAAAAAAACCACGCTCACTTCAATCTTCACTAATATCCTTTTTGTTCATCTTTATCTTCATCTTCTAACAATTGACCCTAATTCGGGTTTGTCGAAGAAGTTCAGAAGAGCATTAATCCATGGCGTGTATGAAGATTGGCTCCAAATCTAAAGCGTTTCACCGTGATGGCCAAACTTGGTGAGCGAAGAAATCCTCTTTTCTTCTAAATTTTTTCTTGAATCTACATTTTTCATAAAGATTGTTTTTGAAGCAACTGATTGAACAAGGGTTAACACAGCAAAATAGACAAAGATACGATGGGTTTGTGTTGCTTTCAATTTGGAATTTAAAAACTCGGTGCAACATATTTACGTTTGGATTTGAAAGTATGTTCTCTCGGTAGATTTTTATTCTTTTGCTTTTTTTTTTTTTTTGTGAGAACATGGTGAAGTTTATTGATTTTTTCAAACCCACAAGAAGGCTTTAGCTGGTGAATTGCTTTTGCATGCTCAATCATAGGATAGATGTTTTAGGATTGGAATCAGTACACCCAATTGAACCCAAATCAAGGGGCTTCCTCTAAGATCTTTTCAATAGATGGATGATTGAATTGTTGTTTTCATAATAGTAGTCACAAACCATTACCAATGAACGCTATGAGTAGGTGCCTGTCTTTATGTTATTATCGATTTCTCGCGAAATTTATGTGGCTTACTTATTTACTGTATCTTCACGGGGTTTTAACACATCTATTTTCAGGCAATGCACAACTGGGCTTCCAAGTGATGTTACCATTGAGGTTGGAGAAATGTCCTTTCATCTCCACAAGGTGGATTTTATTCGGCTAAGTTCAACCTTTCAAATTATTTTGTGTGTTTGAGTTGATTTATGGTGCCTTTGTGCTTGGTTTTCTTTTTTTGTCTTTCCTTTCTTTCAACCAATATTTTAATTGATTCAACCTGGTTGATAACAAAAAATAGCATCAACTTAGTTGTATAATCCGGATGAAAGCTAAAACATTTTCTCAAGTTGGCATTTGATGCAGTTTCCTTTGCTGTCAAGAAGTGGGCTACTGGAAAAGCTTATTGGAGAATTTGCCGGTGATGATGGATCAGTTTGCATTTTGCAACTTGATGACATACCTGGTGGAGCCAAAGCATTTGAGCTCATAGCCAAATTCTGCTACGGTGTTAAAATAGAACTCACTGCTTTAAATGTGGTCAGCCTTAGATGTGCAGCGGAGTACCTTCACATGAGTGAAGATCATGGAGAGGAAAATCTCACTGCACAAACAGAGGCCTTCCTCAATGAAGTTTTTGGCAATTGGTCAGACACAGTAAAGGCTCTGAAAACTTGCGAAGAAGTTCTATCTTATGCAGAGGAGCTTCACATTATCTCAAGATGCATCAACTCCTTGGCAATGAAAGCTTGTTCCGATCCAACCTTATTTAATTGGCCTGTGTCAGAGTGCAATAACACTGAGAATAAATCCGGCAACCTCTTATGGAATGGAATATCTGCCTCAACAAAGCCACCTCCCATTGGGGATGACTGGTGGTATGAGGATGTGTCTTTCCTCGGTTTACCTCTCTACAGACGGCTTATCCACGCTGTGGAACCAGGAGGCATGAAGCCTGAGAATGTTGCTGGATCCCTCATGTTTTATGCTAAGAAATATATTCCATTGATGAATAGGCAACCAACTGCCCAGGATACAAACCAAGTTAAACCTGGCTCAACTCTGTCCAACCCTTCCGAGGCAGAACAGAGGGCTCTCCTTGAAGAGATTGTTGAGTTGCTTCCCAATCAGAGAGAAGTTACACCAACTAAGTTTCTACTCAGGCTGCTCCGCACTGCTATGACCTTACAGGCAAGTCCATCATGCAGAGAAAACTTGGAGAAAAGGGTGGGGGAACAATTAGATCAAGCTGCATTGGAAGATCTACTGATACCAAATATGGGCTACTCGGTGGAAACCTTATATGATATAGACTGCTTTCAGAGGATTCTTGATCATTTTGTATCAATGGACCAGCCCATGGCTGCAGCTTCTCCATGTATAGTTGAAGAAGGGCAGTTGATAGAAGGGGCCCATTCGCTGGCATCAGTAACAATGGTGGCAAATCTGGTGGATGCATATCTTGCTGAAGTGGCACTGGATGTTAATTTGAAGTTCCCAAAATTCCAGTCACTTGGGGCTGCCATCCCTGATTATGCCAGGACAGGTTCTGATGGCATTTACCGCGCAATTGATATATTTCTGAAGGTAACAATTCTAAATCTCGTTCTTTCTATTTTTGTGAGCATTGTGAAATTTNAAAGCATTTGAGCTCATAGCCAAATTCTGCTACGGTGTTAAAATAGAACTCACTGCTTTAAATGTGGTCAGCCTTAGATGTGCAGCGGAGTACCTTCACATGAGTGAAGATCATGGAGAGGAAAATCTCACTGCACAAACAGAGGCCTTCCTCAATGAAGTTTTTGGCAATTGGTCAGACACAGTAAAGGCTCTGAAAACTTGCGAAGAAGTTCTATCTTATGCAGAGGAGCTTCACATTATCTCAAGATGCATCAACTCCTTGGCAATGAAAGCTTGTTCCGATCCAACCTTATTTAATTGGCCTGTGTCAGAGTGCAATAACACTGAGAATAAATCCGGCAACCTCTTATGGAATGGAATATCTGCCTCAACAAAGCCACCTCCCATTGGGGATGACTGGTGGTATGAGGATGTGTCTTTCCTCGGTTTACCTCTCTACAGACGGCTTATCCACGCTGTGGAACCAGGAGGCATGAAGCCTGAGAATGTTGCTGGATCCCTCATGTTTTATGCTAAGAAATATATTCCATTGATGAATAGGCAACCAACTGCCCAGGATACAAACCAAGTTAAACCTGGCTCAACTCTGTCCAACCCTTCCGAGGCAGAACAGAGGGCTCTCCTTGAAGAGATTGTTGAGTTGCTTCCCAATCAGAGAGAAGTTACACCAACTAAGTTTCTACTCAGGCTGCTCCGCACTGCTATGACCTTACAGGCAAGTCCATCATGCAGAGAAAACTTGGAGAAAAGGGTGGGGGAACAATTAGATCAAGCTGCATTGGAAGATCTACTGATACCAAATATGGGCTACTCGGTGGAAACCTTATATGATATAGACTGCTTTCAGAGGATTCTTGATCATTTTGTATCAATGGACCAGCCCATGGCTGCAGCTTCTCCATGTATAGTTGAAGAAGGGCAGTTGATAGAAGGGGCCCATTCGCTGGCATCAGTAACAATGGTGGCAAATCTGGTGGATGCATATCTTGCTGAAGTGGCACTGGATGTTAATTTGAAGTTCCCAAAATTCCAGTCACTTGGGGCTGCCATCCCTGATTATGCCAGGACAGGTTCTGATGGCATTTACCGCGCAATTGATATATTTCTGAAGGTAACAATTCTAAATCTCGTTCTTTCTATTTTTGTGAGCATTGTGAAATTTCGGAATTTTGGAATTGAAATGAAATGCTGGAAATTTGGGAATTGCATGGAAAACTGAAAAGTTTAGGCTTGCAGTAATTAGGCAGACGCTTGAATCTGTGTTTGTGGGTGGTTG